ATTTTAAATTCTTCTTTTTAAATTGTTCATCTGCTTTCCTAAACAGGTAGATTTTATCCATCAGAAAATAAATCCAAAATGATACCAAAGTCATAGAAAAATACGTTCATTTTTATCATGGAGTTGTATAATTCAGTAGTTACTGTAGTTACTGGATGCATGCACATTGTAAACACGTAAAGGCCCATTTTTGTCATGGCTGAGATGTAACACAGTGGTTGCTTTTTCATTTTCCAGGGTTTACCGACTTCATTTTCAGTCCATCTGAAGATAGGAAGGCTTAGTAGGAATCAGCCGGATGCAAAGTAAAATTGTGGTGGATTAGGTGTTTGTGTGGCTTTCTCAACCGGGACTATCTACTTAAGGTTGTCATTTGCAATGTCATCATGTTTCACTTCACAAGGAAAATTTCAGAAAAAATGGGGCTGAAAGTCAGTTTAGCTGGGGCATTTGTTTGGCAAAAACAATATTAGATCAGGTTCTAACTGCTAAAAATTGGTGTCAGTCCTATAGGATGGATGACGCCCACACTATCGCTTATATTCTCAAGTAGAGATAGAAAAGTATTTTGGGATTCCCTGTTAGCTGTCATTCAATAGTTATTCAAAAGGTACATGTGACTTTCAACCTCATCTGGAATATTTATCCCTGGAAGGGAGCTAAGCATTGAAAGAGTCAATAGTTAATGGCACAGGGTTCTTGGTACATGGACATTTAGCATATTTTGTTTTTATTTCAGGTTCTGCAGGGATCTTGATAGCCCCCAAAGCAACTTTTCCCTGTGTTTTATGAAAGTGAAATGGGTTAGGAAATATTTAATGTAGGAGGTTTTTGTTATCTAAGATGAACTGGCTTGGGTAGGAAGATCCACTTTAAGAAAAAAACCAAAGTTCACCGTGAAGAGTAGAAAAAAATCTTATCTTTAACTTAAAAGAACTGAGATATTTATTAAAATAATTTTAGTTTATCTTGCATTTAAGAAAATCAAGTTATGTTTGTAAAAATGAATTTTCTTGCATAATGTAGACATATGATAACATGTGATGTGCTTCATTTCAAGTGGTCATTTTTGCAAGAATAGTGTTGGACAGTTTTAGTTTCATAAAAATAATTTTTATTAATACTTGATGTTCAAAATAGTCTTTTGGACTGCTATTTGGTCATCGTTTTTATTTACTTTTTAAAAATATATTTTAAGTAGTGTAATTTTGCCAAATTCTCATTTGTTGATGGTGTTGAGCGTGATTTGAGGAGTGGACCAATTGATGTTAATTTGATCAACTTAATGCCATCGTTATGTTTTGGTAGTTGTAACTGAATTTTATTGTAATTATATTGAATTTTCAGAACTTTCCAAATTTCTACAATCAGCTAGAGACTGACTGATGGTATTGTTGACTACTTGGTGTAAAATTGATGTTAGCATTAGAGTGGGTAGAGATAGTTGGATGGGGTCACGTTACAAGTGTTCTGTTTCTTAATGAATCTGTGTGTGTGTCAGGATGAAATTTGTTGTCATATACAATCATGTAACTGTGAGTCTTTGGAAACACATACTCAAAGAACAAGCACAACTTGCACTAGGAGAATACCCTCTACTTGAAAAAAATAAACACTTTTTTTTTTTTGATTGGACCGGGTTGGATAAAAGAAATTTAAAAAAAACTAGATCCATTTCTATGTTCTTTTAACAAAAAACCCTATAAACATTAAAATCCAATGCTTTCTTTTGTAACGTTAAATTATGTAGGAATTACGTTTGAGAGTCCTTCTCAGATGTGATTTCTGATGCTTTGTAGTCTGTTGTATANCTTAGTCTTCTGTTGACTTCTATTGAGTTCCATTTCATGTATCCCAGTAAATGCCAGAATTTTTTTTGGCTACCTGGTATTCTGTATCAAACTAAGGGGAAAAAATGGAGAATCCTTTAGTTAGAGAGGAAATGTGTTCCAGAATTAATTTAAGGATAGTATTATTATAAGTCTGTATACTCTAAGTCTATATACTATAAAAACTATAAAATGTTTAATTTAAATTGGAGAGTTTTCAACAAATATTTATTCACTCATTTTTTTCATTGCATAGTTAGACTCAGTGATATTAAGTTTGTTATTAAACTTAGTAGGAAAATATCACTAGAACATCTCTAGAATCTGTATCTTTAGGATGGAAGAAATCACTGGGAAGGTGGAGTGAAGCATACTGCCTTCTTGGCTTGAGAGTCAAGTAAATTGCCTCTGGATTTTTGAATTGTCCTGTA